TTTTTTTTTGTATTTTTAGTAGAGACGGGGTTTCACCATGTTGACCAGGATGGTCTCGATCTCTTTACCTCTTGATCCACCCGCCTCGGCCTCCCACAGTGCTGGGATTACAGGCTTGAGCCACCGCGCCCTGCCCATAAACATCTTTTAATAGTGGCTGGCATTTAGTAGCAGGCACTTTTCTAAGCATGTTAGCTCTATTAACTCAGTCATTTTTACAAAAACCCCTCTTGAGATTCAGGTTAAAGGAAGGGGGTCTGCTTGGGGCACTGAAGTGGACTGGTCAGCGTCTCACATGTAACAGCCTCTGAGACAGACACGAAGCCTGGCCTATAATCCTAGGACTCCTCTGCCTCCAAAGCCTGTCAGGATGCTTCCTGATGCATGGACCAGGCCATGTTGCTCCAGGGAATTCAGTACAGTTTGTAGGCAGTAAGGACCCCAGTCTTTCAGCCCAGCCGACCTATGAAACGCCGCAGTCCTTTTTCTGGTCTTCTGTTTGCTGGGAAAATGTAAATATGAGGCTTTCAGTATTGAAACCTTATTTGAATATTGAAGAGAGTGTCTTTTTTCTCGGGAGCTGTGTTTGTCTCTGCTCTCCTATGTCTTGACCACTGAATTAAGTGAATTTCAAAGACTGAAAAGAAAGTGTTTTGTAAAATGTGTAACATCTCATGATTCACAAGCTCAATGGGGCCTGACTAAATTTCCCAAAGTAGCACAAAATATTTTAACAATCTTTTAAAGTAATGAAAGTGTGTATACTAGAACCCATTTGTTACGGTGTTTTAAAAAATTGTTACTGTTTTCCCAGGGGAGGAGAGGTTAGGAACACACACACACACACACACACACACACACACACACACACACATATGCACATGCACGCACCTGAACGCTGCTTCGTGTAGTTTGGTGGCCCCAGTATACAGAGGTTCTGGGCTGAGGTTGCTATGGGTCTTAAGAGAAGACTTAGCCCCTGTACTTGAGCTGGCTCATAGCAGCTAACAGGGTGTTTGCCATTTCTTCTGAGACTGCCAGAGGAGGCGTTGGCCTCAAAGGCAGGCTTTCTGCCCTCAGCCACTTTCCCCACTCCACCGACCATAGCAGCCACATACTGGTAGTCACTGATCATAGGTTTGTCCATGGAAATCAACAAACCTGGACAGTCCAACATGAGGAGAGACGCTCCCGGGTGCCTTTGATCTTGGCATCAGCAGCTGCTACTGTAGTTTGAACTGAATCCCTTTTCCTGAAAGTGATGGAAGGTGGAATTGGGGCTCTAACGCGATGGGGTGTGTGAGCGGCTGGGTACTTATCAGGCTGGTAAAGAAATGAGCCGAGGGGCCATCGCAGACTCCAGGGTGGATATAACCAGGCAGATGCTGACATGGTGATGGTTTCATGAGCCCTCCCAAAGTCACCGTGACATGAGACGACGCTGAAGACAAGGCACGGCTGAACCCACGTAGGGAGATGCAAAGGGGAAAAAAGACAGTGCTCTTGCCTCGTTAGGTACAGAATAATGGGGGCAGAGAGGGGAAATCATATTTGTTTAGCTGCTGAGCTAGAGATTATTCTGTGTATTTTTATCATTATGGCCAATCTTGAAATGCAGAAATTGACGTTCAGGGTCAGTGACTTGACCAGTTATACAGTGGTAGAGTTAGGGAGAAGTTAAAACCAACCTGAAAACTAGACAATGAAACCTAGAAAATGCACATACTCAGTGTCAGTAAAGAAGCGTCTTTGAGGAATTGGGAATGAATTGCACATCACACATGTGGTTCTCAAGTGGCCTGCTGGGGTCGGCCAGCCACACATTGTTTTCTTCCTATTCCTTCTCACGGCCGCTCTTTCAGTATGTTGGGCCATACAGTCCCTTTTCTTGGTCTCTTTTCATCCTTACAACACTCCTAGGAGGGGGGTTAAGGCAGACATTTGATTCCATCTTACAGATGGGCATGTTGAGACCCTGAGGTTAACGGACTTGACCTGGCCACCCAGAAGGCAGTGGTGAATCAACAGCTAGTCCTAGTGTTAAGGACTTCAAGAGAAACTGGAAGCACGATTTAGTGCAAACAGCAGGGAAGGATGGACCTTGCTGCAAAAGGGTCCTATGTCATGACTCAGAGGCAAGTATGGTGACGTGCCCAGAATCTGCAACTGGGAGCTTGCCAGGAATGAGAGGTAAGAGGAGATAGGTATTCAGGGGCCGGAGGCTGCCGAGCTTCTTTGGGGGATCTCAGGAGAGAGGGAGGGACGGGTCAGAAGCCCATCTCCACTATCAAGTGAAAAATGAACTCAGCTCAGTCATCCAGACGAGATTCAGGACTAGAGAAGAGTGAGGTACAAGAGAAGAGAGTGTGGGGAGTCCTTGGTCAATGGGGGCCTGTCCCAAGGCGTGGAGGACGAAGGGCAGCAGACGGCTCCACCAGCCAGTGCTGCTTACTGCCCCGTGTGCCGGACAGACCAGTCAACCCGTGCCATCTGCACCAGCCTTTAGCCTGTGCCTCTGAGAGCCTGGGCTCTGCGTTGAAACCGATCAGGGAAGCTGTTGCTTTTTGCCGAGTCCGAGCCACAGGGCCACGGCTGGGCTTTGAGGGTAACTTCCTTGTTCTCCTCTCTCTTTCAGGTCATTGAGTGCATTACCCAAGGTCGTGTTTTGGAGCGGCCCCGAGTCTGCCCCAAAGAGGTGTATGACGTCATGCTGGGGTGCTGGCAGAGGGAACCCCAGCAGCGGCTGAACATCAAGGAGATCTACAAAATCCTCCATGCTCTGGGGAAGGCCACCCCGATCTACCTGGACATTCTCGGCTAGCGGTGGATGGCGGTCATGAATTCATACTCTGTTGCCTCCTCTCTCCCTGCCCCATTTCTCCCTTCCACAACTCCTTCCATCCTTGACTGAAGCAAACATCTTCATATAAACTCAAGTGCCTGCTACACATACAACACTGAAAAAAGGAAAAAAAAGAAAGAAAAAACCCTGTAAAGCAGTTTGGCATAATATATATATATATATATATTTATATATCTAACTATCTATCAATCTATATCTACAGAGAGATACCTTCTCTAGTACATGGAGAAGCTGCTGATACACAAAACCACAAGACTTTAACAACTCAGAGACTCTAAAATATTAATAATAAAAAGGAAAATTCCCTTCGACTTAAGCTGTGGCCCGTGCTTCTAATGCCACAGCTTTTCGGCACAGAAGACCTGGACCATGCAGAGAGACAATCTTTGGGTTGGAGCTTTGGGACGGGAGGGGCTCAGGTGGTGCTCAGTTGCTGCTGTGTGTACCTGTTACCCCAGAAGCTCACCACAGGCGCCTGGGGGCACCGCATGGCTGCGCTCAGCAACGAAGCGATGCTGGAGCAGGGCCCTTGCCTCCACTTCTTCCCCATTTCCTCCACTTCAGGACAACGTTCTCATTTGTCCATTCTAAAGAGTGTCATCTTGATGCTTTTGGGACTCGACGATGGCACCTACGGGTAAACGCAGAACAGACAACCCCACAACTCAAAACCATGATGAGAGCTGACTGCATCCGTCCTGGGTGTAAGCGTCTGGCTGGAGTTGCAAAGGAAGTGTCTTTCTATTCTCAGACCTTAAAGAACTGGACTTTCTGGACTCAAAGAACCACAGAAGACAAAATAGCTGAAACCTGAACCCTGCCAAGACACTGCCACCTGTCTTTTCCATCATTGCAAAGACTCCTTGGCCTCACCTTCCATTTTCAGGCCCCCGGGAAGCTGAGGGGGTTAGGAAACCGGGTCTCCCACGTTATCTTTGAATGTAGACACAGAGGGCTTTAGGGTTGCAATAGCAAGAGGCTTGGTTGCTTGTAGGTCATTACAAAGAATGGCCGCTGGTCCTCAGTTTCTTATCCTGCTTCCCTAGATCCTAGACCCCACTTCCTGGGTAAACCCCACTGCCAGGGAAGGAAGGCAGGTCTAGTGAGAGGCTGGAGCAGCGAGTGTTTCAGGGAACCAAGCAGTGGAGTGGGTGAGAGCCAGCAGAGGAGAATCTACTTGGCACCTGCGCCAGGCTCCTTGGCATTCTCCTCACGTTTCCAGCCCCTGGGAGGATGGATGCATCTGCCTTTGAGCTGTTGTGAAAACGCAAGGGCTGAGAAATCACTTTTGTGGGCTGGGGTAGGGGGAAGAGCTGAGGCTTCTCTGGGAGATGTCCAATGAGCAGCCAGTGCTGCAGGCTTGGCATCTTAATGAGGACTGAGGCCTGACCCGAGAGAGGGAAGGAAACATCTGGGCTGGGGCCAGCTCCCTCTGCCCCAGCACCAGGGAATCACTGCCTTCCTGGCTGCCGCCACAGACCACAGTGGAGCTAACCTCTGGGCCTCCATGTCACATGACGCATGGAAGCCAACAGCCTGGCCCCACAGAGCTCTTCTGCTGGGGAGGAGAGGATGTGCTCCTCCCAAGCCAGGCCCCTCCACCTCACCCCAAGCACAGAGCTACCTAATGGACCGACCTTTGCCAAACTGGAGCTCCCCCCGGCAGCCTCTGGCCTGCCCTTTTCCCTGCCAGCAGTCTGGACGTCCTGGTTCGCTGAAGGCAGCTGAAACGTGTGCCTCCCTGTGTGGGGTTTAGGACTGAATTATGTGTTTGTGGTTTTGCTTCTTTTTGTAGACCCACAAATATTTTTATTTGAATAGTAAAGAGCTGTGCTCAGATTGTAGCCATGGTTGGGATTTAGGATCAACAAGGCTGGTTAGCTGGACTGGGAGGGGAGGGAGGTGAATTGGGATTTTGCTGTGAGTTTTCTGGCTGTGCTATGCCCCCAGTCCCTGAGGACTTTGGGGAAAAGCTGTTTGGATTGACCACCTCAAAGGAACCCTTTACTGTCTTATGACACTTACCCTTTTGTTTTTCCACCTAGAGGACCGCTATGCTGGGGCTGTGAGTCCTGGTGAAACTGCACAAGCTGGCTTTGATCTAGGTAGCTAAGAACAGGTGTTCAGGGAGGGCATGGTCTAGAGGGGCCTCAGGGAAAAGTGTCTTCTGGTTAGAAGTGAGGTACCAATGCTCCTGTTGCTTCCCTTCTCCCATATCCTCCCCTGAGCAGACACTGTGTGGCTTCTGTCTTCTTGGCTGTGTGTTTCAAACGTGATAGTCACTGATGGGTTGGGAAGAACCGGGAGAAGAACTGGGTTGGAGACGGGTGGAAGACCGGGAACAAGGACCGTGCTATGGCTTTATCTCCAGGCGCTGCAGCATGTCGGCGTAATGAAAGAAGGTGATTCCTTTGGGAACAAGAAACAATGAAGGAGACTACAGTTGTCAGATCGCTGGCACCTCAGGCCGGCAGGCTTTCACGATGGTCTTGGGGTCATGCCCTTGCCATGTCAGTTGTAAGCAGCTGGCTGTGGAGCAGTGTGAGAGAGGGTGGCAGAGCAGGGCAGGATAGAGGGGGACCCGCCTTCCTGCAGCCTGGGCTGCCCTCTCTACACAGAGTCTACTTTGATTTATTAACCTTGACAGATTAAAAAAAAAAATTTTTTTTTTTTTGGAGAGTAAAAAAGGCAGAAAATAGGGCTGTGGAATTTGCAGGGGTACACTATGGCCCTGGGGGGTGTGGCGTGTATTGGGACGCATCTGTCCCTCCTATATTGGGACAAGACTGATAAGGTTCAGTCCACCATGTCTTAGTTTCCCCATCTGCAGAATAAGGGGTACACCTGCTAATCTCTGGCCCCTTCAAGCTCTGAATTCTTAGGTTCTAACAATGTTGCGTCACTGTGCCATTTTTCTTAGCAGCACTCTGGAATGCCAGGACAGCCTTGCATAGGTGAGAGGCAGTCGCTGCTGAGGGCTCACTGGGCCTGGGCAAGGCTGAGTTTCAATAAGACACTCCTCTCCTTCTTTGCCCCTTGCCTCCACATTTCAGAGCCTGAAGTGTCTGAGACGACTCTAAGCCGGGAGGGGAGTGTTTGCTCGGCTTCCCACCCTGGCATTCCTGCATACCAGAAAAGCACTGTTGACGGTCTATTTATTTATTTATTTATTAAGAGCCTAATGTGATTAAATGTGTTGTGAAATGACATCTGATTAGCCAATATGGCCACTCCAATTCACTTCACCCTCATCTCCCCATATCCACATTTTAGAAGACCGTGTCACACTGTCTCCGAGAGCTTAGCTTTGAAGTGAGCTCTTTCATGTCTTTTGGTGAATGCTCCAGGGCACCCAGGCTGGTCTCTCTGCCATGCCAACTTCCCCTGGACCGACTGAGCGTAACCTGCTTTTGCATGTCTACCCTGGAGTAGGGTGTCGTGGTCAAGGGACCTCCCAGTTCTTCTTTGCTTTGGATGGGAACCTAATGCTGCCCTCTAATGACATCCCTGAACTCCGAGGGGACCGTGGGCATCGCTAAGCCTCCTCTAGTCAACAAATAAGAAAGAGGAGGTGGTGCTTCCTCCACTCAGCAGATCATGCACAAATTATCCCTAGACAGAGGCTTTCCACTTGAGGCAAAGGGTCTTCAGTCCTTCTGGGTTCAGGTTGAACATGAACGGCCTTCTCTAGTGATGCTTACTTTGCGGAATACACTAGTGCAAGTCATTTTGGTGCTAAATACTATGGAAACCAACACCAACAGGAGAGCTGTCAGCCCGTTTCTGTGGCTGCACAAGGCTCACCTCAGAAGCAGACGTGAGTTGGCCATGTGGGAGAGCACAGGATCATGGGAAGTTAAGTAGAAATGTGGCAGGGTAAAAAGACCAGCAAAATTTCTGATTTTGTTATTAGTTAGTTACCATGTGGCCTTGACCAAATCAGCTATCTGAGACATTTAAGAGGTTCTTACAGATATTTTTAGAGTCCTTTTCATTTTTTTTAAAAGCTGTGTTCTGGTCCCACCTGTTTTTTCTTTCTTTCTTTCTTTCTTTCTTTCTTTCTTTCTTTCTTTCTTTCTTTTTTTTTTTTTTCAAATGCTTGCTTGTTAAAAATAAGAGATAAAGTAAAAGATAAGGGAGGAGACCAAGAAAAGTTACCAATGGCAATGGCAAGAGATTGAATTTAGAAGGCAAGTCAAGAAGCCTGGTGACTGGTAGATTTGAGGAATATTGTGCAGGGAACCAGGCAGACAAGCCAGAGATTTCATTTTTATGCTCTTCAAAGGAGGCCTAGCCCCTTGCCTGCTTTCACCAGGCTGTTCTCCTCAGCTAGTCAACCTTCCCTGTTCCAAACTTGGAAAATTCCAAGTTTACGCATCGTTATGAAGACATCGATATGGGCTTGGGAAAATGTTTTGGTGTTGCTTCCATGCTCACACTTGGCATACACTATTCCAAGATATGGAGACAGGCCTGCGCATCTCTCATGCAGGCTTCTGGCAATCTGAACTCTGGGTCAAAAGCAACAAGTTTTTTATCTTTGGTAAGAGGATGGGATGTTAGAAAGAGGGCAGCGTCTTAAGTTGAGGACTATTCGCCAAAGTCCTTTTCTATTCAGGAATCACTAATGGCATTCTTTGTTCCCTTTTTCCAAACCAAACAGCAGCACTATTACCTTGACTCCAAAGTCCAGTCATTGCAATGGACAGTCTTGAGGTTAAGGTTCTTGTCAGCGCTTTGCTTAGAATCTGGAGCAAAGAACTGTCTAGGGGTTTTTGCTGAAAGGACCTACCTGCCAGCAGTCCACAGAGCTGTCCTCAAAGGCCCCTGAGATGTCTGTTGTCTCCTTTGGTAGGGAACCAGCTTGCTAGAAGACCCAAGGGCATTTGCCTTAGAGAGAAAAAAAAAATGGCACCCTTGGTTCAGGACATGGGTGCTGAAGTCACTGTGTTTTTGGTTCCTGAAGGTCCACTTTCTTTTTTCATACCAAATACATTGTTTTGACCAATATTTAACAGGTTTTTAAACATAAATTCCAAGTTTATGCATCGTTATTAAGACATCGATATGGGCTTGGGAAAATATTTTGGTGTTGGTTAATAATACCTGGAGTGTCTTGCTGAAGAAAGTATACATATATGTATGTTTTATGGTTATTTCTATATATTTGATTGGAATGGCTTAAAAGAAGGCCTATGTGAAGTCAGAAAATTGATTTCAATTTGGGATTCTCTTTGAACCTTGCCATTCTTGGGGATAAGAAATCCGGAGATGAACTGGCCTCAGAAACATTCAGCAAGATTCCGATGGGAAATCTGTCGTCTTGTGAAGTTTGACCATTTGGTGCTCTCTGAATTAAATTATGCTGACTAACATTCTGAACATCTGAAAATCATTCTGCCTGACAGATGACCACACAGGAACCATTTCTATCACGTCTTATTTGGGGGTTGGTATTGAAGTCACCAGCACTGCAGGGGAAACCACCCCCCTAAGAGGGATGGGACAGAGAATGTGAGGTTCACATTCAGTTGCTCTTTCTGAAAGGCACTGCTGACCGTAGTCGGTGGGGTGAATATTTGTGTCACTGCATTGGATATTAGAACTTTTGCTCTGAGCACAGACTGCTTTGCCCTAAAGAGCTGAATCTTGGCTTCTGATAGAGGCTTTTCCTGGTGCATTCCCCTCAAGCATATTTTCCTTATTTCCCTGTAAAAATATCTACAGTTTGCAACAAGAAATGTTTTTGGCCTGTGTCTCAGTGTACTAGAACAGATGCTCTTCTGTGAGACCTGTGGAGATGAGGTTGGGAGGAGGTGGTCCCTTCAAAGTATTTGGAATTCTTGATCAAAGAAATAAAACTCAGATTCCCTGTCTTCTAGCTTACTTCTAAGTTCCAAATTTAAAGCAAGACCTGGTTTGACATTTGCAGTCGGAGATAATGTGTTGAATCGGTGAGGTAGGCTATCTTTCTTTCATCATAGGGAGGAAGGACAGTAAGTTGTATTAATTTTTCCTAATCACCCAGGGAAATATTGCTTTTTGTGCAATGTCATGACTGACATTTATAGCTTGCAGGAAATACTTCCAGCTGACAGAGCTGGAAGTTTCTCATAGATATTTCAAGATAACAGAGGTGAGGAAGGGCCTGTTGAACATCTACTTCTGAGAATCACTGAGGCACTCAGGTCTTGCTTTTCAGTTTAGTATTTTATGAAAGGAGTTGGTTTCTTCTCATTTTAGGCAATGAGAAATTTAGACATCTTTGCTGAAAAGCCAAAGGTTGAGAGCCCAAATATTTATTGTTTACTCTGACATTCTTTTATTTTATTTTCCAAGCCTTTTATATATATATATATATATATATATATATATATATATATATATATTTTATTTCCATAGGTTATTGGGGAACAGATGGTGTTTGATTACATGAGTAAGTTCTTCAGTGGTGATTTGTGACATCTTGGTGCACCCATCGCTCAAGCAGTTTACACTGTACTGCATTTGTAGTCTTTTATCCCTCACTCCCTCCCCACCCTTTCCCCCTGAGTCCCCAAAGTCCATCGTATCATTCTTATGCCTTTGCATCCTCGTAGCTTAGCTCCCACATATCAGTGAAAACATACGATATTTGGCTTTCCATTTCTGAATTACTTCACTTAGAATAATAGTCTCCAATCTCATCCAGGTCACTGAGAATGCCATTAATTCATTCCTTTTTATGGCTGAGTAGTAATGCATCATATATATATATATATATATATATATATATATATGTCTTTAAATAATAATACATACATATGTATATACCACAGTTTCTTTATCTGCTCATTGATTGATGGGCATTTGGGTTGATTCCACTTTTTGCAATTACAAATTGTGCTGCTATAAACATAAGTGTGCAAGTATCTTTTATGTACAATGACTTCTTTTCTTCTTGGTAGATACCCAGTAATACAACTGCTGGATCACTGACGTTCTTTTAGATGTGACATCCCTAAAACCCAACAAGAAATGTAAACATTGAAGTCTGAGTCTGATCATTATTCTTTCATTTAAGAAGAGCACATGGGAGTTTTACATATTATTTTTAAAAACTAATTTTGTAGTATGTTAAATGGTAGGACACATTCAATTTTTTTTTTCCTCACTGGAGATCTGTCCATGTTCCATCTTGATTTAATAGCTCCCCGGCATATAACTGATGCCTCTGAGCCTACCTCTGAAGTAAATAAATAAACCTGGTCCAAGGGATTTGATTTCTGCCATTCATAGTGGAGAAATCAATCTCAGTGAAGAAGACTTTTTTTTTTCATTTTTCTTCTTTTTTCTTTTTCCTTTGGCTCCTATCCGCCTGCTTCCATGGGACTGAGAATCCACCTTCTCAAACAACATGAAAGTCTTAATACAAGGTGAATCCCAGAACCACAAACAGTTTGGACTTCAAACAGTGAGAAAATTGGCACTATATGATTTGGCACACAAAGCAGAAAACGTTCATTTCCTGTAGGCAGGACGGAATTGACTGTTACATTAAGACTTCTGAAGAAGCCCTGCCCTGGAGTAATTTCAGTGCTGTCAGATGATGTTGACATCTAGATTAACCTCTGTGCAGTGAATTTCGCCGCAAAGCTCATTGAGATGCATGTGATGTGTCTGTACAGATCCCATCTGGAACCCTTGGTGGCCCACCCTCAGCAACCCTCTTCTCCCTCCCTGACCCTGTTTTCTCTGTCCATAAACTTTTAGCCTCCAGGAGCAGAGGAGTCATGGCTGGGATCTGACCTTAGGAGCGGGAGTTTTGGCTTCTCTCTGACCATGGTGCTGAGCCAGGCTTTCTGCTCAGAGTGACAGTGATTATCATCATACTGGGTTTCCCCTGAGGGAACTACAAATTAAGGCATGAAAACCACTGTGCTGATGACAGTTTTACAGCATATCTCAATGCTGCACAAAGTGAAATGGTTTAAAAGGAATTAGTGTGTCCTAAGTCATTGAGCCCTGCTCTGGGCTCTGCAATCCTTGAGGGATTCAAGGTCCAGCTGAAACAAGGTCATGACTGTGTCTAGGTGGGACAGATGCATTCTGACAGACAAGGTGTTTGTCTCTTGTGTGGGTGTTTCCTATGGTCCTTACAAGAGAGGCAGCCGCAGCTCCAGTTTCTTCCAGTTGGGACAGAAGGTGTAGCCATCTTCTAAGCACTGGTTTGTCAGCTCTTTCTTTAAGGGATGGCTGGCTCCAGAACAAGCCAAACTCACTCTACAATTCCACATTGTGGCACAGCAACCACAGAGAACCTCAAAGCTGAAATTGCAACTTCTCTGCAAAATAGGGCCATTGATTTCATCAAAAATTTTGAGGAAAGGCCTTTAGCTTAGATTCCACCACCTTCAGACTCCACAGAGTTGCTCAGCGTGATAGCATGCATCTTTGGAAACTTACCTCAGGGTTTTAGAATACTTGACCCTAATGTCTAGATAACAATTTTCTCTGAGATTTTACTAATTCTAATTCCCTCTTAAATTGTTTTCCCTACTTGCCTCTTGTCTTTAAGTAATAAGAATCTCCTTGCACATTCTTAGGTATTTCTTTAGGAGAATTGGAAGTTTCCAGCCGAGGAGATTGTGCTTGTGGATTGGAAAGAGAGGTTTCTGGGCTGAAAAGGTATAAATCCTACAGAGACAATCTTGATGACTTTATTTAAAAGCAGTTATCAGCGTTGTGTTTTATTCTAGGTGCTCATGTTCATAATGAAATCTACATGCACCTTTTTCATTATTTATATTATGATTCTTATTCATGTGTACATATATGCACACACACACACAAAGGCCTCCACAATCCTACCGGTATACACGTTCATATGCCCCATTTGTGTCACTTCCATTAATCTCTGGGTGCATGCATTTGCAATGAAGTGTGTAGCTTCTCTTTCCTCTTATTATCAACACATGTCCACATACCCTTTGACTTTCTGCATTTTGGATCCCATGAGATTAGGGCTTTTTCAAGGGAGATTAAATCTTGAGTTTCTTTAAATCTTCATACTTAAAGGCAGGATTGGTTTTCATGGAGAAACAAAAACTAAACCGAGCCTTGATTCAGATTTTATTTAACTAACTTTCTGGGGAATTTGTTCTTCAGTAATAAATACTAAATGCAAATGTAATGGACAAGGGGTTCAAGCAGATTATTGAACCTATCTTGTAGCTGAAACAAGTGGTCAGATACGAAGCTCAGACGCTGACATTGAACTAGAACATGAAGCAAAACAGTTAGCATGGAGCGCGAGAAGAGCACTGGGCTAGGAATGAGACTGCTAGATTGTTACTTGAGTGTTCTTAGCTTAATGTGGGCAGCTGATGTTAGTTGCAGGCCTGTGCCCCTCTAATCCCAGTGATGGGGCATGACAGTCTGTCTCTCCTCCATTGTTCAAGTTAGTTATCACTGAAGTATTACATATTAGCTCAAGGTCCTGCCCTGAACAAGCCTGCAAACATCCCCACTCTGAAGAGTCAGTCCCATTTTTGTTTTACGGCAGTTTATCTCTTGTGGCCCTCCTCTGGAAGCTGTCCAAACTCTGAGCACTTGCTGTCCATCCCCTGTTTCCCACCCCACACTTCAAGGCCGGGGAAAAGCCAGGGAAGGTCCTATTGGCTCGTCTCCCTCTTTCCTAGCCTGCATATCCACCAAGCTTGGGATTTAGCCTCTGTTTTTAGAGAGGAAAACAAGTGTGTTCTCCCAGCCATCAGTATCTTTCCAGCTCCATGGACCAAGTGATTAGCGCCTCATTAGCGCCTCATCAGTTGCTTTTGCACAAGAGACTCTGGGACAACAAGCCTTTTTACAGCAGGTTTTCTTTTAATTTCCTCTGTTGTTTTCTGGCTGTTAACTATACGGATAAATGGTAAAACATAATTTTCATTTTTTTAGGCCCCATGAGTGTGGGTATGCTATATTTCTATGGATGAGGAGTTCCACATGTCAGCAAAGCATTTATTTATTTAGTGAAGTGGCTATAATATTGACACACAGATTTGCAGCAGCATCCAAATCTTGGGGGGAGAAAAGAGCCTTTTTGAAGCAAATGAAACCACCTTCTGTGATGGCACCAGAAAGGTTTATACCTGAAGAGCAGAAATGAACCTGATAATATGCTTCCTTTCTAGAAAAAAAGAGGTAGAAGAAATCGCTGAAGGAGCTGGATGACCAAACCCTCTATTCCCCAAATTATTATGTATCAATAGATACTTCAACTCTGTCCCTTAAATGGCTCTGAAAAACACAAATAACCGTATTTGTTATTAGAAACAAATTCATAATGTCTAACCCAATCCCTTATTTTAATCTATATACATATTAAAATAATCCCATATATATGATTATTATATGGGATATATATTTACATATATATGTATATGTTTGTGTATATATATATTTACATAAATATATATTTACATATATATATAAATATATTTTTTAATGCTCAGGATAGTTCCATATTGTTTCGTTTCTTGGTTCCTTCTAATAAATTCAATGAGATTCATAATTTCCTCACTTTTATTTAGGAAGGAGTTGGGGTCTGTTTTGAATGCTTTCTAGGATAAAACAGCAGAACGGATCGAAAGTGTGGTGGAAGGATAATGGGAATAGGAGGCAGAGAACTTGCACATTCCTATTTCCTGCTGAGAGATCTTGGAAAAACATGGTCTTCCCTTTGCCTCAGTTTCTTAATATACAAAACGGAACCACTGTCAACCCCCTGTGTGCCACAGAGGGTTATTTGAGCACCAAATGAGATCGTAACTGTTGACATGCTCTGTGAGCTGTACAAGGCCAGACAAACAGATAGAGCCCACTCTCTGGGCAGTGCACGTGACACGCAGTCTTGTTGGGCCCTGAGCTGAGAGACTGAGAGCCGCTCTTGAGACGTGCCATGTTTTAAGGCGTATCTTCCTTACATTGTTGTTGGTGTCTGGTTTTTAGATGTTTTGCCATTAGCATTTTTCACTTTGAGTATCTAGTGACGGAGAATGCTTTAAAAAATACAAGCAGACGGGGAGGGGGATGCTTTACTTATTTAGGTTCATCATTGGAAAGGGACAGTTAGATTTTGTTTTCAGGCTTGGAACCCTGAACATTTTGTAGCAAAATGGCATCGCCTGCTGCATTTAATTCCTTGCCAGCCACTCTTGCTTTCAAAAGATTCTGTCAATTTCAACATAATGTTTTGTAAAATAAGAGTCTATGAAGCTTCCTCTATAAATTTGGTGGTATAACTAATCTTTCAGGAAGCCTCTGAAGGGATAATGATTTTTAAGTGGTATCCTATTCTTTCCAGGACCAGCATTTGTACATGGGGAAATAAGACAGGTGAAGAGCAATGCTAGACCCCTCCTTTAATCGGTTTGAGTGCCAGTAAATAGGTGTAAGTGGGATTCCCACTGAGAAATGTGTTTGAGTGAAAATGAAACCCTTGGTAATGAATCCTGAGGCCAGAATGTCAACTTCACAGTATTCTGTCATCTATAGCCCCTAAAAACATCCCAGGTATTTGTGATGACAGCCACTGATATAAGCTCTCTGTAGTTGTGAATACATGGCAAGTAAAATTTTCTCAAATGTTATTTTTCATAGATCTCCAGGTGACAATCATGTGCATTGTATCCGACAAAATTCTGTGAATGATTTTCTAGAAGTATTTTGATCGCTCCAGAAAGAAATCAGCATAAAGCTGCATACCTAAAATCCTAAGAAATTCATAAGTATTTTTCTCAAGTTCAGGCTGCCTCAGCTTCTCTTTTCTCTCTTTACCTTTTACCTCATAGAGAGGCAATCTTGATGGCAAAAGGTTGGGCTCAATTTTTGTTTGTCTTATGTAGAAAAGCAACACCTCTGTTCTGGACCACTCTCCAGTAGACAAAAAACATCCCAGCTTTCGAAATGAGAGTCCAAATTGGGTTACCACTGGGATTTTAAATTATGATGTGAAATTGGAGAAGGCAAGCTGCTTCAGAGTGAAGTTTCATAATTTATTCCGATAATCTGGAGGGGATGATCTCCTTCACAGCACTGTTAAAGCCTGCCTTGAACAAGCTCATTTCACTACATAACTTCCTAGAGACAAGACTGATTATTTAAGGATTTCAGAGGTATCATTTGGGGAATAACTCACCAGATAGAGAAAGTTTGATCTAATATGTTAACAGGCACAAAATCTAATATTTCAATGCTTTCTCACCCTGCCCCTTCTCTGAGAGTTTAGCCTTTCTTAGGGGCCATTCTGTCCTTTCCCAGGCTAGAAATGATTGATTGTATTTCATGTCCCAAAGTAAAGTCTCCTCCAAGTCCGTTGGACGTGAAGGCAACCAAAAAGACCCATGTTATTTTTCTGTCACTTCACAGCATCGAGGACCTTCTTGTTTATGTGTGTGGGGTATGGTGGGTTAGCTTAAGGGAACTGTCAAATTAAAATGAAAAGAAAGCAAGTTGGGGCAAGAAAACCCTCACTCTGAATGTGAAAGAAAATAGCAGTGTTCTTTTCTGTGGCAAAGATTTGTGTACTGTTGGGGGAAGATTCATTTTATTTCTCAGGTAGATTTTACCTTCTGAGATTCTGCACGCACGTGTGCGCGCACGCGCACGCGTGTGTGTGTGTTGGCTGGTGGGGGGGGTGGAGCCATATAAAATGTAGTTGTTTATGAGTTTATACTTTCTCTTTAGCATAATAAATGCCCTGCTTATTTTCTCAGAATGTGACCATAAAATTTGGAATTGAGAGGAATTCAGAGGCCCGTGTCACAGTTCATGGTAAAGTTTTGCCCAAATATTTCCTTCAGAAACATTTAGTCATAACAATCCAAATCAATTCTTATCTGCAACTGGCATCAGAAAAAGAAATCAGTAGGTGGGGGCTGTAGACCCTGATGCTGCATCTATTTACAATCTTTCTTTTCCAAGGTTTTAGGGTTCATGATTCACATAAGGAAATTTGGGGGGAGCTACCACATCTGGCATGCGTTAACTCTGTTCCATGGGAAAACTAGGATTGCTTTTGGGCTAATTTTGTTGGAAATGGCACACGTACAAAAAGAGACTTTTGGAACATGTTTTAAGCCTTTCACCTGAGGTCAGCCTCTGCTGAAAGAGTGTTTAGTTTGGTAGGCATGGTTTCTTGCTTCTCCTACCCCAGGGTGTAAATTCTGCAGTGATTCCTGGGTATATGTTTTCAGCACCAGGGACAGCAAACAAGCCCCTGAATTGAAGGGCCGTGCTCTCCTGATGGACCTCCCAGACCCAGGAAGGGTAATATCGTTTTGTTTTCCTTTACTCCCTGTCCACTGGGGCCTCAGCTCAGAAGTCTTCATTCTTTAGGTGCTTACATCTTTAATTTATTACCAAGCCCAGCTTAGCTGTCTCTGTCACATTCTTGACCTCCTAACAAGTGGGTTTGGAGTAAGACTCCCAGGTCTGCTGGCTCAGAGAAGCAGAAGGACACTAGACTTCATTTGAAGGCCATGCTTTAGAATAGGCTCCCCCTACAGAAGTCTTTCTAGCATACCAATGACTTGTAAACCCCTAAATGAAAGACTGCTTATACACAATCACTTTCCTTTTAAAATTTCTGCACCTTTCTCACAATGTACAAGTCTATGTTTGACTCGATGTGCATCTGGAGGCAATATTTCACAGCAGTTGAGCAGAAGCTATGAACTTTGGGGATGGAAAAGGGCCCAATGATGCTGCTGTTATGCGTTTTGGACACTCAGTGGGGGCACTGCTTTGATTCTCAGCATCCACCCTTCAACCCTGAGTGCTCTTCAACAGCTGTTTTTGCCTTAAACAATCACAGTAAGAATGCAAATGACTCCTTGTGGCGTTCTTCAGGCCTGACTGAAGGGTGCCCTGAGAAAACAAGGGGAGCAGAAGCACATGTTGTCACATTGCTTTGTTATTGGCCAGTTTTCATACAGCACAATGACAGACAGATGTCATCCTAGAGTCAGCACTGTCTGCCCTTAACTAATTGTCACTATCTTCTCCACTCGTGTCAGGATGAATCCCCGGTTGGTTCATCCTGGGATGAATAAGGCAAGTCAGTCACTGCAGATCTCATCTTAAGTACTGCCTTCTATCTCACAGATGTTAGAACAACTCCATTTCGACTGCCTCTGTACCATCCAAGACTCTGAATTCCCTCCATATCTCCTCCCTTTCTTGCTGCTCCCTTTCCGTGTTGCTTATCATAACATCCATTACATGTAGTGGTGTAAGACAATAAGGGGTTTCTTTTAGGAATAAATGAGGTGAAAAAAGTAGGCCAGAGCCAGATCTTAGAGGAGCAATTTCAGTGAAACTATAATTTCTAACTTGGGAGTGGGTCTAAGGTGTAGCCATCCATTCCTTCCATTCCTTGTCCTCCTGAGTGAATCCCATTCCAGTGCTCACGCTTGCCCTGCCAAAAAGGCCATGGCGCAAGATTCTCTAGATTATTTGAATGAAGACCGGAGGTGAGCAGCATCCAACACCTCTGTAAGAGTTCTTTAGAATAGAGGAGATTTGACTTATGTTTAAATCCAGGAAGGCTCCTATGTTTAAAATGTTGAGAAATAATATGTACAGAAAGGACCTATGGTGACAGGAAAACTTAATACAAATTATTTTCCCCTAGAACAGAGAAGAAGGAGCTGCAAAGTGACTGCTAATGAAGCAATGATCTTCTGGCTGGGGGAAATGTGGCCTGAGACTAGAGATGCAGAGCCAGCATCTCTAGAAGGAGAGATGCTGTCAATAGAAGAAGCCCCCGGAGGGACCTGGTCAGACAATACAATTTTATAAAGGTTCTCAGTACTTTTTCTGAAAAAATTCCTAAAATTTTCAAGGGCACTTCTAGCCCTCTGCCTCTTTAGAGGTGAGCTCAGTGCTACGTCTGGGTTCTTAAGGCAAATGCCCTACAAACACCAAAGTCTCGTATTTTCCACTCTCAGCCGGCACTGGCTAAGTGGGATATTTTTTCCCTTCCCTAAGTGAAAGGGACTTGTTTTCAGGAGAAGTGTCCTTTAAACATCCAGCTAAAACTGGAAGTAATTTTTTGCATGAATGGCTTTTTACAGCTAGGTCTAAAGCAGAACAAAACTTGTATTAAACTAAGTGCTACTTTACATATCTTATTTCAAGGGAAATGAAGGATTTATTGCCGTGTAAATGATATACACTGATTTGCTTCCTACTGGACATTACATGTCCCTTTATCTTTAGGCTGATGTGCAGCAAACTTTCAAACTCTGGAAAATCAGCTGGTACCTACTTCAGTGCATTACTAGGATATTACGTTCCCTGAGAGGAATTTTCCCAATGAAGTTTAGGTACTGTTGTAACTGATTTCCATCCCCCCTCCCTAAGCTTCTGTACTAAGTATATGTAAAGTTACTATATCTTGTCTGACCCCATGTGCTTGTGTGTGTTTCCCAATGTTTATATAAATATATTGGTGATCGGAAGGGTTAGCTGGATTACAGCAACTGCTGAACATGGTGCGTGTGGCATGTGGCACACCTCATGCCTGTGCACACCCATTCTGAGGCCAAGCTAATTTTACAGGTTTTGAAATCAAAAAAACATCAGCAACAATAACAACAGTGTGGCTTGAATTGAGGAAAGTTTGACGATGGATACAGTATTGCCAAGTCATCATTTATGGGTGGAGACCTTGACCACAGCAGAGCTGAGGTGTGTTCAACTGGATCTTATGTCCTTTGTTTTAATCCCAATTGATCGTTCCTCATTTGTATTTTATGACTTAGAAATACGCCTACGTGATGCTTGTTTTTCTCCCAGGCCTCTGGAAAGTGCTGATCATGATTGCTTCCCATCATTTGGATCCCAAAGTTGATAACTTAGCATGAGTAACTGAGGCTTTAGTAGAACTGTGTTTTACTAACTGTATCTCCTCCTTGAGGTGCTGTTCCCTTCATTCTTTTCCTTTATGACAGGTGAATGCATTGAATGCATTGGCTATGATAATTTTATTTGCATCCTGGCAAGTTTTAGAGGATCAATCTAATTAAAATGATGACTGCGTTTGCCTTTGAAGAAGAGGTTTATTGTCTAAGTAAAACTCTATGTGAAGGTGTCCTTTATGCAAAAAAAAAAAAAAAAAAAAAAATCCAACTTGATAAGATGGCCACAGGTTAGAGGGGTGTGTTCTCAGTTGATATTAAGGGATATGTTGAAAAGGCAAGTGCCCACCCTTTCTCTATTCTTCATGCCCTCCCTTCCTTCTTCCCCAACCTCAAAAGAAAACAGAAAATTATTTTTTTAAACTGTATTAATAATTTATGTTTAATACAAAAGGCTGATTTAATGGTATCACCAAAGGTCGTTTCTCCCATTGTGCATGTCCTTCAGTCTCAGCCCCATACCCATCACCCCATTCTTCACCCTCATGCTTCCATCCCAAGGCAAACACGTGTCTTCATCGGAATCTATGGGTGTTGAAATTAAATGTGGGGGCAGAGATTTAACACCATGGCACTAATACAAATCAACCATTCTTCACTTTCAAATGGTTAATTGCTACAGGAAGGCAAACTCTTTCCTTGGTTTTTGTTTAAAAGCATTTTATACATATATATGTATATATGTGTGTGTATGTATGGACATATGTATGTATATGCACATGTACATGTATATATGTATATATCCATCTTCAATATAAATATATCATATGTGAGAGTTGTAAATACTCCTTGGTCATATGTCTGTCTTTCTCATAGTACCACATCTTCAATGTTATCTTAACAACTCCATTTATTGATTGATGAAATTGTGTGTAGAACTGTATCCTCCTGACATAGTTTATGTAGGGTCTCTTCTCAAATAAAGTATAAAACAACAATGCCCTTGTTTTATCTGGATTCATTATGTGGTAGGAAAGCATGTTGAATTTAAAGATAGTTTGAAAGTTTGGGAAAGTCCTAATGTGTGCAAAGGTCATGAGATCCAGGATTATCTCGAGAGCTTGAACCTTGCTTTTCTGAAAGTAAAAGTGGATTGCACAATTTTTAAGGTAGCCGATAAGTTACACATTGGATGGAAATGAGTGTCGTAAGGGGAACATACATGCAATTATCATTTGAGACTGGGTCCCAAGGAAAAGATTGAATATCTCCAGCTCCGTGTCTTGGTGACATCCTGTTACTCCAGATACATTGATATTCAACTTCTCAGTTACAATCATTTGAGTAAGTTCTCAAAGTGGGATAAAATGTGTTCTATTGAATATCCATTTACCCCAAAGGTTTGATTATCCTGTAGCATAATTAATTTAAAACTCCTCCCTCTCTTCTCTTTTCATTCTAGTTTCCCTCTCTGTCTACATATTTTCTGCTTTATGTCATATAATGTGTTTTCTCTAATAATATTTCACTGCTAATTTTCATTAACTTTTTTCAGAAACGTTGATGGGTTCTGGGAGAAAGTGTGAGAGACAGGAGGCACGGGTTGCAATTCCATGAACAAGAGTTCAATGGAGATGTAGAAAGGTTTAAACAGAGTTTTTCCATTATGGCACTATAGACGTATCAGACTAAATAATTCTTTGTCGTGGGGGAGCTTTTCTGTGCATTGCACGATATTCATCAGCATTTTTATTAGTGCATTAGCAGTCCTTCCTGCCTCCTCCACCCCCACTCCACTACTCTATGAAGACCAAAATGCCTCCAGACTTTGCCAGATGCTTCCTGGGGGGTAAAATTGCTGTCCTTGAGAAACACTGGCTTAAGTTTTGACATCTTGCCACACAGTATTAAAAGAAGAATCAAATTCAGAAAATATGAGAGGCCCCAGTCATGCTCCAGGCCTTTCTAGACTAGCAGCTTGGCTGTCCCACGTGGTAAACTTGCTGCTTTTCTTTAAGCACATTTTTCTTCAAAGCCTGCAAAGCCCGTCGCTGAGAATCAAGTTACAATATTACATTTGGGGTTTAGATAGCGCTAGAAATACCTTCTGCATCTCCATAGATCAAAAATGTTTTCATCCCTTAAATATTGGTTCATAACCCTTAAAAATGTGTAATTTGTGTGTGATTAAATCCTTTGGATCTGTGTAAGAAACCCAAACACTCTTTTTATTTGTTTTTTGTTTTTATCGGTTTTTTTTTGTAATTTTGTTATTTATTTATTTATTTAATTTTATTATTTTTTCCCAAACACTCTTTTTAAAGGTGATGTCCCTGTGAAAGATGCGGGCAGACCTAAGGGAGAGGAATCTTTGTGCTTCAATCTTTGCAACATATTTTCCACCTGGCCCACATGGTTACATACATTATAAGCTTATAAGCAGAACTTTTGTAGGCCTAGGATATAGGTCTCCAGTATATAAATTCCTTTCATTCTGTTAATAGAACTTGCATTAAGTTGGTCGGCAAAAGTGAACGTTCTTTGTACAATTCTATAAACACAGTATACATTTAATGGACATTTGCTGCAATGGGCTGGATTTCTCATTCTCTAAGCTCCAGATTACTTGTACAACATTCAAAGTGCTGTCATTATGCCACCTCTTCAACTCACTCATGGAAGCCCTCAGGATCTAAAATCCTGAACAACCTGACAGTATGTTCATTATGAAGGAAATATCTCTTCTCCCCAGAATGTGGCTACCTTTGCATTAGTGGCTTCCTATGACAGCCAGCTAGAGCAGAATTAGGCTGCTTGAAGGCAAAATAGGTGTTTCTCAAGGTAGGAGTTTGAATGGCCTCTGACATCTAGGCCTAAGGCTTGACCTTTACATAGTGTGCTCCAGTGATGGCTTGAGAACCAAGTGCTGTGAGAGACCTCTGGTCCACCCCAGAGAGCCTCAAACTCAGCCTTCTGCAGGAAGCCCTTCCTACACGACACAAAGGCCAAGGAGGCTGTGGAGGCCTGCAGCTTCACCTTAGATTGTCCTTATGCCCTTGTGACTCATTATTTGACATTTAATTTGAGATGACAATCCGAGGACTGGATCACATTGTGTCCTCCTGTGTCTGGAAAGTCCTTGATTGCCGATCTCATTCAACTACCTGCCTGTGGCTAGGATTCTCAGATCAATAAGAACTGGGACAAAGTCCCAAAGAAAAGCATCTCCCAGTGCTGGAGAGCATGGCTGGTAAAATGATCTTATGAAGATCACCTGGTCCCAAAACATCAGCATCTCAGTGGTGACACAAAAAAGACATGGTTTAAAGAGGGTACTTTAGAAATAGCAGCTCGCCATTGCTGGGAGTGAATCTGGAGGCTGTTCATGATGATACCGAGAGCAGAAATGCCAAGAAGGTATTCACTTGACACAGGAAAGAGGCGCAAATGAATCTGAAAGTTGATGTCTGAGGTAGGGGTCACTCTTTTTAAAAAAGTTAATAATTAAGTTTGATTAAAATTTATTATTTAAGAAACAGCGTCTCCACCCTATTGCCCAGGCTGGAATACAGTGGCACCATCATAGTTCATGGCAGCCTCAAACTCCCGGGCTCAAGTGATCCTAATCCCCTGCCTGCCTCAGCCTCCTGGGTAGCTAGGACCACAGGTGCATGCCATCACATCTGGCTAATATCACTTTTTTTTTTTTAACTTTTTGTAGGGATGAAGTCTCACTATGTTGCCCAGGCTGGCCTCAAACTCCTGGCCTCAAGCTATCTTCCTGCCTTTGCCTCTCAAAATTCTAGAATTACAGGAATGGTAGGTAACTCCTGGTAAGGACCTTGGGTAGATATAGAAGTAAGTTCCCCCAAACACTGCTCAATCTTCTCAGGACACATTTCCTTAGTATTTCAAGGCATGGTGGGCTCCTTGCACAGGGCCATGCCCTGTTCTTTGCTCTTGTTGGGATGCTCAAAATTACTTAGCTATTAGCTAGGGAGATGTTCTATTTTAACCTCTCTTTTCCCCTATCATGAATGTTCTGAATTATTCAAATCTCCAATTCAGGGCTCAGCAGAGGATCTAATTACTGCCCTGCTTGCCATTTGCTGATGAGCTTCAAGAGCCAAAGAATGACTTTAAAACAGTTAAATATTGAGAGGCAGCTTCTTTAGAAAATTCCGTAGGAGTCTCAGTCTTATTAAGAAAAGCTGGATGGCATGGTCTGAGAGAGTTTGCTGGATAAGGCCATCTTCTGACTACACATAATTGCCAGATACTCAAGGCTCAGGAGAGAGTCCTGCCTTGAATTAAATAAGCTGATCTCTATGAGTGTCCTGGTCACAGTCCTTTTCTCGTCAGAATCTTGAAAACATTCACCACCCCTCTTGTCACTCAGGAGGGATGGTCTTAGCTGGCAAATGCTGATGTATAATGGAAAGAGGTGGTGGAAGGAAGAAGGTGCAGAAGCTTCTGTCTAACGCAAGAGTGGAGGGTTTTAAGCTGAGGAAAACAGAGCAGAGATGCAGTTTGGAAGACATGTCTCTTTTTAGATAATCATTCGTTTATCTGCTCGTTCATTCACTGATTTATCCATTAATTCATTTGTGTAATCAATCAGTTTAGGAGTGCCTTTAAGGTAGATGAGGCACAACATGCTGGAGCCTGAAGATGTAAAAGGATTTAAGGCTCCCCTCTCTCCACACCATCTCCATCCCTGCCTCATTCTGGGAACCCCATACTGAACAGAAGACAAAGGAGTAGGGTGCTAAAAGCAAGCGTATAAGACGCAAAAGGAGGGGAAGTATTTTTGTCCATGACTTGGGTGTTGGCTAAGAGGAGAGTGTTGGATGAAGAGGCTGCCCTGGGCTTCTCCCAGAACAGAGCCAAGTTCTCACCCACTGTGACCTTGGGCTGTGCGTGGCAAGTGCTAGGGCTTTGAGACAGCACCTAATCAGCGTTCTGTGAGCGTCTTTGCCTTCTGCAGAATTTCACTCTAGGTGGGAAGCCAGAACTCTCCTCCCAAGCCCCATGCACGTACTGACTTAGAAAGCAGGGAAATGTCTCAATCATGGTGTGCCACCCTTAAGTCACTGCTCCAGGGACACACCAGCCCTGCTCATTTTCCACCTCTGTGAGATGCAACAAGCCAGTGTGCTCTGCTACAGAATGCAAAGCCCCACTGGCAGAGGTATGCTCAATGGGGCTGATCCTAAATGTGATTTATGGAGTTAGCTCATTTCCTGCCTCTGATGCTGGCCTCAGCTGCCAGGAGTTTGACTGACAATTTCTGTTTATTTATTTCTCACTATATAATATCTGACTTCACATTATAAATTCTTTTGGTTGGAATTTCATGGCGTCTGTTCCAGTATTTATTGATGGGCTGCTCCTCGGGAACTCGGTCCTTTTTTTGGGATGAGCTGGACTCTGAGCTCTTGGTTGTGCCTGTGAGGGTGAGGCTAGGGCCCTGTCACCCCTAGAGATATTTTACTATTGTAAAAATCCTCTTGTGTCTCTTGATAGACAGTCTTCTTTACGTTAGAGATATGGTCACCTATGATGGATAACTTGTGACTCAGAACCAGTGGAAGTAATCGGCAAAGAGTAACTCAGAGTCGAAGTGGTGTGTGTGCCTGACCATCTAGAAGAGGTCTGGAGGGGTAGAGTGTGACATGCCGGTTTTTGCCTGGATGATGGCTACCATGTCCTTTCCCTTATTCCTTCCTTCTAGTCCACAGATAAAGCAAAATGATCACTTAGCCAAAGGTTGGACAAAAGACCCCGGGAGAGTTCTGAATGTGTTTTTTCTCACCCTATGAATGTGGGGCCTTTCATCTAGAAATGATTGACCATAAAATGTTTTCGAGAAGAATCATGAGTTTTTCAAACATGGGCTGCATATTGCTCATAAAAATTTTACATTTTCTCTAGAGAAATGAGGCCATCATATTGTTCGTGAGTTTATTTCCAGTGCCATCAACCACTGTTAAGACCCCC